TGGTCAGGCTGGCAGAAAAGCCTGGTGGTGGCCACTGAAATGGACTCCAGTGGGAGCGCAATGCCGAGTCCTGCTCCTGCTGCCAGGCGCCAAAATGTCCCCATTAGGCACTGCATACAGCCCCCACCCCAAAGCAAAGGGTTTTCAGGGATACCAGCCATACGGGGGTGCAGGCAAGAGCTTAGCAAACTGCTCCCATTGACCGCCATAAATATTTTCCCTTTAAAAAGCCAAGCACACTGCCCTGATGGCAGTGATCCTTATTAAATTCCCTTCCTGCTATCAGGCTCATGAGGAGATCAGAGTGAGGTCTGTGGTAATTAAAAATGAACGAGACCAAATTAGTTAAGCACATTCCTGACCGTCAAGAAGTAATGGAGTGATTCAGAGAGTCTGGATTTTGCTGAGGGAGGAGGCTTTCTCCAGCGCAATGCTCCCTGCCTCCACGTACGTACCTTACCTCCAAAACGGTGCCGGGAAGATGCCTGGAGGGGACACTGCTCCACTTTAATGTGTCTCTTTGCAGGATCCCTCGCAACCCTGACGTGCTGGTGTCAAAATTATGACTCACCTCTGACCAAATACAGGCATGAGATAGGTGGCCGAGCTATCAGGCATGGCCATGCTGTGGCCTGTCCAGGGGCATCCCAATCCAACGGGGTGAGCCATGAGGTACCACGCCGCGCTGAACAGCAAAACGCAGGCTGACACCCTGATGTGGGGTCTGAAAGTGGCGATGGCAACAGCCCCTCGGGGCAAGGAGATCAGAAAAATATTGGTGGGTGAAAGACAGAAAGCAGCATGTTGTCCCAGTGCAGTGCAATGTTGTCCCAGTGCATTGCAATGTTGTCCCAGTGCATTGCAAGCGAGCTACTGTGCTGCAGAGCTGCTCCTGAACCTTCCCTCCCACACCTGGGGTCACTGCAGGACCTCCTTACAGCATCCCAAACGCCTGCCATGTGAGGTCCCTTCTTTCTTCCTACCTCCCACCCAGATGGTAAAGATGTTGTGGGGAGGGTGGCAGGAGGGGAAGGTGCTCAGGGCAAGATAAAGTAAAAAAAAAACCTTAATGTAATACCCAGGTCATAGCGCAGTCAAAACATGACCGTCCTTTCTACTTTGAACCCCATGAATTCTCAGAGGATCCCGTCTTCTCTGCAGGTAAACTTTGCTGATTAGGTTTTGGAAGACCCAAAAGGGATGAATCCTGACATGTTTCGGAGACTACGGCCATCTCGGGGAATGCTGGCAGTTACTCTCGGCGGGTCACAGTCAGCTGCGCTTTGCAGGTCGGCACGCACTTCTGAATGCAGCAGAGCACGGAGATAGCCAACCTAATTTTAAATGGGTTCATTCGAATGAAAAGCAGTAAAACACAACATCCTGAAAATGAGCACATCTCAAGACACCGCCTGAGCCACGGTGCCACAGTTAGATTGCTCCAGATATGTGAAGCACCTGAGCTAATACATTTTTAGCAGTCTCAAGTGTCTTTCCACTCCACTAGAGACCGCAGTCCAGGCGTATTTACAGAGATGATTGGAGACATTTAACTTATTGTTATACCTTCCTTTGAATTCATAGTTCAGGGACAATTTAAAGAGAATGACTGCTGAGCATTTGGAATTGGGAGAGGTTAGTGCAGTATTCTCAGGATCCAAAATTAATGACAGCCTGCAAGTCACTTCTGTTTTCAGGGAGCAGTAAAGATCAATAGCAGATACTCTCAAGCAGCAGACATTTCTGAATAAATGAAAACAACTGCAAACAGTACATCATGAAGTCAGCAGTAGTGGCAGATGCATTCCAAAACACCCACGTTCTCACCCAGATTCCTCCATATCCAGTGTCCTAACTGCCACCAAGGACCACTGAGGGCTCTGCCAACCTCCAGGAGACAAAAAAAGCCCTATGGGCTCATGCTGTTATACAACTGAAACCTTTTTTTAAGAGCAAAGACATAGCTCTCTGAGCCGCATCTCAGGACTAGGAGACATGAACCAAAGCTTCTGAAGGTAACAGATCTCCAAAGCTGGAAATCGTCCTGCCTGTGGTGGTTGTACTGTGGTCCCCAGCTCTGCACCTTGAAGGACTGCAAGAGAAACCTAAGGGAGCCCAGGACTCTACCAAATGTCAGGATGAGCTCCAGCATCAAGATGCTCTGATGTAGGGTAGGATCTACAGGAAGTAGCAGAAATGGAATAAGTTTGTAGAATGACCAGAAAGACTCATCTCGAAGTATATGCCATACTTACGGTATTTCTTGATAGGCTTCAGTATAAAATAACTCGAGACCTATGAGAAAAGGAAGGCATCCCATAGAGTCATTAATTACTTGGTGAGATGATTATGCATCCCCTGGCCAAGTCTGTAGCACAAATCTCACTCTGTACGTGTGCCACTGAGAACGCACGTTGTAGCAGCCCCAAATACAGAACCTTTCCTTTTCCCGAGGCTATAGCAATTTCTGCTTTTAGCATAAGACATCCTTGATCCAGCTCCTGTGTTGTCAGACAAGACAGAAACCACCAGCTCGAAGAATACGACAAGTCAGGAGGTGTCTATCTGTCAGCATTTTCAGTGTAACTCATCATCATCAACAGACCCCCATGTGCAAACTCCAAAGAGTTGGAGGGCACATAATTTTCAAAAGCTGCCTCTCCCGATATATCCCACCCATTGAAGTCAGCCAAACTCTGCGCTGCTTCAAATACTTTGCCATAAAACCCACCACGTTAGCCAGGCTGAACGGTAGGGCTGGTCCCTACAGATTCCTGCAGTGGTTGACTGCTGTTGACAGATTTGTGTTTTCAGCCTAAAAGATTGGTTGTTCTTAAAGCAAAAGGTGAAAGACTAAGAGATCATAGAATCATAGAATCACAGAATGTTTTGGGCTGGAAGGGACCCCTAGATGTCATCTAGTCCAACCCCCCCTGCAGCAAGCAGGGACACCGCTAACCAGATCAGGTTGCTCAGAGCCCCGTCCAACCTGGCCTTGAATGCTTCCAGGGATGGGGCCTCCACTACGTCTCTGGGCAACCCGTTCCAGTGTTTCACTACCCTCATTGTAAAGAATTTCTTCCTTATATCTAGTCTAAACCTTTTAGCATCAGAATATAGCCAGACATCTCCTGAAGCCAGACAATCCACTACAGACAAACAAAAAAGACAGAACTACATTAACACTGCTGCACTCCCAAGAGCCCAGAGAGATGAGAGCTGAAGGGCTCGGTAAAAGAAGTCAAATACCCAATTGCTTCTCAAACCAGCTGAATTGCCATGGGACTTAACAGCAAGATAACAAGGAGGAGAGGCATCAGTTGAGATGAGTTTCCCTGTGTCTTTAACAGAATCCTGTACTTTGGTGTACAATATCACAGCCAATCTACTGGGCAAAGTTTTCCCTTCCTAGCAGGGGGGCAGATATAGAGAAGCCATATAGTTGAATTTTCATTGGAGCTGATTTAAGACCAGAAAGAGACACAAATAAGAGGAGATAAAGAGGGAAGTGCATCATTTGTCAAAATCCATAGCAGAAAGTCGAGGAGAGTGTAATGTTGCTGGACCTTAAACCATTTATCACAAGGTTCAAGAAGAAATAGTGTATATCAGAAAAAATGAGTTATGCCTATGTACTCCCGAGTACACCAGAAGTGGTTGTGCAGCAGAAGGGATAACACTATCGGCTCCTTTGTAGTACAGACAGCAACAAGTAACAGGCTTGAAGTACAACAAGGGAGATTTAACAGCAGAAAAAGCCATAACAGGAGGGAAAATGAATAGAACAAAATAGATGAGCAAATATCTGGGGAACTTGTGGGCCCTTCATCACCAGAGGTCCCTGAAAACAGTCCAGCCAATAATCAGTCATGAATGGCAAAGACATTGCTACTATAGCTGTTTGGGCTGGGGGATGAATTATGGGATCACCTGAGGTGCATCCCAGCAATATACTTCTGTAATTGAAAAACACATCCTAAGGATATACAGAGATTCCACATTTAAAACCTCAGAAACTAAACCCAAATACCAGGAATGACAGGCAGCTTCTCAAATGATGCTTGCAAGCAGTTAGAAATCTTCCAGTGGTCAACACTGCTGCAGAAAACATTCATTTGCTTTATGCTGGAACATATACCATGAAGAAATGAACAACAAACCTTTACAGGAGAAGAGTCAGAAGTAAATAAAATCTCACCTCTCCCACACTAGAACTGAAGGGACATGGCCATCATTCATCCTGCTTGTCAGATACAATAATTTATACCCCCTGGTACAAATTACTGGGCAAGTAAAGCACTGTCAGGATCTTTTGTGAAGAGAATTGCTAGAGCAAGGCAGTGTGATGGGAAAGATCACTCAGCTTGGGAAGCTACAGAACAGTGAGGGAATAGTTCAAATGTGTTGGCAGAGCAGCAGTTCACGTATGTCCCCAGATGCAAAGAAGTGTCTTAACATTGAAATAACCGCAGGACCAAGCGAGATGAGAACACTCCAAGTTGTTAAAAATAAATACATAAATAAAATCAAAAAGCTTCGGCATGAAAATAACTCAGGCAAATAAGACATTTACCAGTGCTTATGCATTGAGCTTATTCATTAGCTAAACAGTGCAGGTAACGAGAATGTGGACACTATGCAAAGATAATTTGGCCACTCCTGGCCATCATTTTGGCCAATACAGCTACAAATGAACTGGAGAGCTGCAGAGCTTTAGTGAAGGGCAGCTCAAGACAAGCAGCCACGTCTCTTCAAGGGGCTTTGTAACAGACGTGGCTTGTCGGTGAAGAGGCGTACAAGGGTACCTGTAGCAGATATTGATTTATACAGCTACGCTGCAAAGACAAACCTTGCACCACAGCTCCAAGAGACAAGAGGAAGGATTGGAGGGGAAGGAGTAACCAGGGACACTCAGGACATCAGTGACAGAGCTAAGAAGCCACACAAGGGTTAACACACAGCTAGCAATAGTCTGTAAAATTAAAAAAGTGCCGACATACTGCATTCCTTCCCTTTCACCGGGTCCGGTAGTCCAGAGCACTCCACCGATGGATTCGGGACAGCCACCCTCCATCTGGAGCCACTGCTGTCGCATTCTGTGTACTCGAAGTGGTAATCTGTCTGCAAGCAATTACAAAGAGTTTCAGTTTCATCATAACATTTGCATATTAAGCTCATTAATCAAGACTGGGATTAGCAAACTCAGTTATAATTAAACCAGAAAGAAAGTAGCTGGCGTGGAACATACTGTGCAGCACTCTCACTGCTTTGATGATCACCGTGTATCACCGCAGAGCAAGCACAGAGCACGTCGGATGCTGCACAGCACAAATGTTAAGGCAGAGGGTGGGATTTGCAAAAGCACTTGAGAGACGGGACACAGATTCCACTAGAATTTTCTTCCCAGTCTCTTAGAGCAGAATTGATCCCAGACTTCTGGCCATCATGGTATTTGATCTACAGTAGCCAACCAGGCTTCCTCTTTGATCAATGGAGCAAGCCATACCCAGAGCACAAGTCATCCCATGTTAGGTTGGACGTCTAAGATGGAGGGGATGAATTACCTTCTGCGAGTGCCTTTCCCTCTTCATCAATCTCAGAGGAAGCCCAGACAAATTAGAGGAGATAAACCCAGTATTGGGATACCTCTGAAAATGCCATCCAGAGTCAGCTCTGAGGAGCACCTCAAGGCAGATGTGAGGGAAGATCATCCCCATGGTCTCTATCATTGAGATAAGCCCTGAGTAGTCCAAGTGAAAAGCAGTAAGAAAATTCCTAGCATTAGGTAGGAAAGAATATTAGCTATTTAATGTATTAATAACACTGACTCAGATCCTAGATGTAATCTAGACTCATATCTAGTTACATTTTTAGTTTTGTCTTTGTAGCTTTGTTTCCAAATTCATAGCCCAGAATTTTACTATTAAAATAAACCTCAGCAACATCTCATTCTTGAATTGTTTTGGTATCAAGGTGAAGCTGGCAGAACTGGTGCATACGTTTCTTCAGAGGGAACAGACCTATGCTAAAATGACACATACTGGCAATGTCCATGAGATGTCTTCACATGGGCAAGGCCACCTCCAGCTCCCTTTGCAGTCAAGAGAGAGAGAGCATTGGCCACGTGCCTATTTTAGACACCTGCTGCAGAGGGGATGAGGAGATAACACACGTCCTAGAAACGCTTCTTTCTCTCCACTGGCTACAGAAGGAGACCAGCCACTTGCTTTGGATGGAGACTTCTCCACTTCCTCAGGGGAACCCCATCTCCGACACTGCATGGCCCTGCGTGGCCCATGAAAACAACACACAAAATCATGGGACTGAGGAAAACGGGATCAGAGCTTTAGCCACAGGCTCGAGGTTTAGGGCAGACTGGTGTGGTGGATCCACAAAATTGTTGCTTCCTTTCAATTTATCTGGCTTCTCCTGGCAGGACTGGCCATGAACCAAAGAGGGGGCCATGTCCGCAGCCCGAGGCACGAGCAGAAGAGCTCTTAAGCTGGCATAGCTCACTCTCACTACAGTGAAACCCACCCATGAGGCACCATAAATCTGCCTTCCTAAAGATCTGTGCCACTGTGACGGCAGATATTAGCCCCTAAGCTACGCTACCCTAGGAGGAGGTGCTCTGTGCACACAAGGATTATTTTGGGGGCAATCTTTTCCTGCTCCTTCTATCACCCCTTGCAGTGCTGACATCCCACGTGATAGAGCAGAACAGGGGGAATCAGGTGGATACGGGTCAGTCCGTGCTGGCTCTGGTATAGATCAGTTAATCCCTTCACATATTCAGCTGACTCACAAGGAGAAGCCTTGCTATTCTCATTTACAAAAAAACCAAACAATATTGAGTTTAATATTTTTCCTACTGTTAGCATAGCTCTCCAGAGATATTCAGATGTTAATAAAGTTTTACCTAAACATTACAGCCTTTGGTATTTTGCATCCAAGTGCAAATAATATTCTGATTTCTCTGGAATTAATATTTTCATGGTTCAACAAATGCCTTTGTGGCTCAGCCTATGGTCTGGAAACCTGACTAACAGCATAGCAGAAAGGAAAACTATCTGTCTCAAAAATAAAGCAAAGCGTAAGAAGAGACTACCAAACCCAGAGCTACACATGGAATATGATGTACCACACTCAGCGCTATGAATATACTCAATTAAAATATGCATTTTCCACCTTTCATCTCATTATACAGTCTTCAAGGAACAGAAAAAAACCAGTCCTTAATCATCTTGGTATGAAATCTGTGTATAAGGCAACCAGAATATATAAATAACATATCTGTAATAGATCCATCTCATAGTTCATATCACGTTTGAAAAAAAATTATTTATTAAATTAAATATGCAAGACTGGAGTGAAGCAAAGAAAAGGATATTGAAACCCTCTGAATCTGACTCATGTTCGGATCTCTTTTCTATTTCATATCAGGTAAAAAAAATTATAGAGAGCAGTTTGGTGTCAACAATCCAGGCTGCTCTCATAGCCACCCTCTCAAAATACACTTCAGGGATGCCTAGCCAGCAAGAATCCTCTGCAGCCAAGAAGGAGCCAGAGGGTGTCTCAGAAGTGGTGCAGCTGGAAGGGACCTACCATGCAGCGCAGAAACATCCCCTTTAATGATGTCTGACTGCCAGCTACCACCTGAGATTCAAAACTCGGGACAGTAACTAAAATTATAAAGAAAGAGGGTTTCTGCTCTCCTTCCAAATTCAGGCAGAAGAGCCAGGTCTCCATCTCGCCTCTTCCATCCCTCCATGGAAAGGTCTCCAGCTTTAACCAGCCAGATGAGGTTTCCAGGGGAGATGGACCCAGCAGATGTCCTTCCCTCAGACCACCCCATCCCCGTGTGCAGCTGGCTGTGTCCACCGAGGAGTCTCAAGATTCACTAGGAAGGTTGTATGGCAGAACTAAGTTCCTACATGATCTTTTTCTGTTACTTTTTCCTCTACTGTGATCAGTTCCCTTGTGGAAGAGGGGATTTTTTTTTTATTGTTTTCTATCTGACTTTCAACTCAACTTTACATCCGAAAACCACTCCATGGAGTTGGTTGTTCCTCTGGTAATTGACTGTAATGAAGACTCTGAAAAATTAATTTCTGCCCTTGGTCACACACGCATAGCTCCAAAATTTCTTCCAGCTACCATCGCTACCATCTTCTCCCCTATGCTATAGTTTTACCTAGAAACAACCACTGGGGGTCCAGTTGTATCACCCATTTAAAACCAGGATATACCTGTGCAGCATTACAGGCATGACAGCAGCTCACAACTTTGGCTGCATCACTGACCAGCTTTAAATTAACCAGCTTAGCTACTTATAGCAGGTGAATATAACTGCACGGAGCTCCGGTTCAGCTAAATGATCCAGCATCTCAGGCTGGTTTAGCAGCCATGGTGATGCTGTCCTCAGCATCCAGCGAGGCTCAGGTCCGTCCCTATGAGCTGGAAGCACGCCTGGACAGCAGTACCGACAGCCTCAGAGCACACGTGACGTATCCAAGCACTGGAAATCACCCATTAGCGCTGGCTTACCCGGCTCAGTGCTTCTAATCTGCCTCAGCAATTTGAACTCCTCAATATAGAAGGCTGGCAGAGGAGCCTCCTCAGCACCGTGGGACGCTTACAACACCTTTGCATCTCACTGAAAAATACCGTTCCATTACGCTGGGATTTATTCTCCACCCTGACAGAGAAACTTCTTCACCCACCAGTTCTCTCAAAAGAATTTCATGGCAAATCCACTGCCAGATGTTCTCCGTTGCCAGCTATTACTCTGTTTTTGCTTTCAATGTTTTTTCCCCACTATCATCCAGACATATAGTATCTTTAAATTTGGCCATGGGCCTGTTTTAATTTTAACTGTAAGTCTGACTCTGTTTTATTACTTCTCTGGGCTTGGCCTTGATGTTCTAAACACGTCCCTCCTTCAGTTCAGCTGTTACTTCCAATAACATTTCCTACTTTATTGCTCATAATTCCTAGGCTTCAGCAAAACTGGTTTGAATTTCAGATCCAAAGAGTAGGTTTCCATAGGGAAGTGTCTCTCAGAAAAAAATGAACACAACCCTCCATATATGGTTAAGCTAAAAAAAAAAGCAGTTTTCTAAATGGAAAATTGATGCTGTTCCAAGAAGCTGCTCAGAATCAATGTGTAGTCCTCAGCATTAATTTTCAAATGAAAGGTTAATAGTAACCTGAAAAATGCCGCCAAAAACAGGCAAGTGTGTTTGGTTTACCCTGTGTTGAATTTTGCTTTATTGTTCTTGGAGAATTAGTAAAATCACACCTGTGCTACCATACAAAGCTGTTGTAAGAAACTCTCTGACATATGACCACTCTCTTTGAAGGACACCATGTACAAAAAAGACGCCCTCGTGCATGCACATGACGTCAAAGAGCCGGTGCACTAGTCACAGCTCTGGCCAGGGGGAAAAAAAACACAACAGAATTTGTCCAGCATGCTATGTTCAAAAAGCATCGATATGGGATCGACGGTGTGGGCCTGCCGCCCTCACATGTGTCCTGTGAAAAACTCTTGCAGACAACTCCCGGCTCCATAGAGGCACGTGCACCTCCTGCTCTGCAGCCCTTCTATGGCTCCCAGCCCACCACCAGCTGGCTGGCTGACCCTGCAGCGAGGCATCTCCTCCCCATGTGTCCTCCAACTCTACTGTCCCTCTTCCCACACAATCCTCATCTTGGCTTTAAGCGGCACCAAGCACTCCTCCTTACCCAGGTCCCCAGATCCAGTGAATTTAGTGTTGGATGTCTCCGGTGCAGACTTCTACATCTGAACTAGGTATCTCACAGTCTTTACAACAGTTGACAGACACTCCTCTCATCTCAAAGTAAATGCCTATTTCAGGGCATTTCTGAAACTCTGGAAATATCAGTTTCCTCTCCATTGACTGTAGAGCTTTCTCCCAGCTGACCCCCTGTAGAATGGAGCTTTCACCATGACAAAGAGCAACACCTACTTCAATGCCTTGCCTGTTTTTCTGCACCAATCTTTTCATTCCCTCCTTTCACCTCAGTGGGAGATGCCCTGGAGCCCTTCCCACTTAACTAGAACTGAAGGGCAGAGAAAGCACAAGCCCTAA